TCTTCTATCTTAGTAGTGTTGAGAGATTTAATTTCTAGCTCACTAGTTCTGGCTTCTAGCTCTTCAGATATACTCCTTTGCCCTTTCAGTGTATTGTCCATTTCTGATATTCTGTTATTAATCATTTGGACCTCTTTCTGTAGGTTTTGAATTGTTTCCAATGCTGTATCTATCTTATTTGATTGTTCCTGTAGCGCTTTCATGACTTCTTCCTTATTTTTCTCAATTCCATTGTATAGTGTTTTGATATTATTTCATAATCATTTTTCTGAATTCCTTCTCTGGCATATCCAAAGCCTGCCCATCTTCCAGTATGGAGTGTAGGTCTATTTCCAGCTCATTTGCCTCAGTCACTTTATCTCATTTCTGGATATGTGCAGATATGGTCATCTGCTTCTCTTTTTTGGGCATATTCAGGGGTTATCTGTGGCCTTAATACTTAGATGAGTGTGTATTTTGGTGTTTTTTTATGCTTTCTGATTGCCTCCAGGTAGATGTGATCAGGAAATGGGCTTCCCTTTTCACTCTTCTTCTTGAGAAATTTCAAGATGGCACTGTTGGTCATTTTGACATAACTTAGGATTTGATTTTTGGCCTATTCCCTTTTTTGTCTGCTGTCCCGCTCCACAATCCCCATTTAGGCCTTTTTTCTAGTGATAAACAGTTCAGGGCCGGCTGTGGCCATTTGGTTTTAAGTGGAAACTATCTCTTTAAATTTCGAGGAGATCTATATGCACATGTGTAGTAGAACCCTCCGAGGGTGGGACTGGGGTGTCCACTAGCTCAGGCACCCCTACAGTCACCAGAACGGAGGTGCACAGACAGCAAGGGACGAATAAACAGATACCAAAAGAAAAGAATGTCCACACCTTTATCTCCACGGTTCTGTCAGGTGTCCATGGCTGCTGTGATCCTTCCCCCACTTGGTCTTACCCAAGATGGCTGCTCCTGGAGCAGCTGAGCGTCTTGAATTAGAAAGCAATGGATTTCTTGCTTCTGCTACAAATACCCCTGGTTCTAAGCCTTCCAACCTTCTAAATATTCCTTTATATGTGGTTGAGAGTTCTGGGACCATCCTCTGAGCCTCTTGGTCCTGTATTCTGTGTTGTTGCTGACGGAGCTCCTTACTGCACTTCCACCCGATATGCCATCTTGTTTGTTCTCCTGTTCTAATTAATTTTAAACGAATTAATTCAGTCCAACAAAGGTCTCTGTCGTCTCTTATGATCTTGGCCCTTTTTGAACTCTCTCCTTTCTCAAATACAAGGGAGCTTCCAAAAGGTCATGGAAAAATTCCATTTTTTTTTTTTTTTTTTCATTTTCCATGAACATTTGGTTTATTGTTGTTGTTAAGTGCCATCGAGTCAATTCCGACCCATAGCAACCGTATATAGGGTTTCAAAGGAGCAGCTGGTGAGCTTGAACCGCCAACCTTGCAGTTCAAACAGCTTTGCTGTCTGGCTAATTAACCCACAGCACCACACCATTTGGTAGCCCCCTGGTATTTCTAAACATTGTCCTTAATCTGAATTCTGTAGTGGCTCTGTGGAATAAAGGACTGGACTGCAAAGTCGGTTTGAACCATAAGGTCAGTGGTTCAAACTCACCAGCCGCTCCTTGGAAACCCTACGCAGGGTTGCTATGAGTTGGAGCCAACTCCACGGCCCTTAACAACCGCAACAAATCTGCAACCGTCTCTAATTTTTCACAGATGTTTTCCCTTCAACCAAAATTTTAAGTTGCAGAATGCAACTTACATACTCTATGCATTATTTTATAGCTCCCAGCAGAGAATCAGCCAAACAATTATTGAGGAGTATTCTGGGGAACCTGACTAGGATATCAGCATCTAGACAGGGTCAGAACAACTTGCTGGACTCTGACTGAAAATTGAACATATTTGATACTCTAGGAACTGTTAACCTTCAATGACATATCTGTGGACTTCACCCAGGAGGAGTGGGGGCAGCTAGCTCCTGCTCATCGGAATCTGTACCGGGAGGTGATGCTGGAGAACTATGGGAACCTGGTCTCAGTGGGTAAGGATGGATTCTCCATACAACCAGAAATTCTTGGGATGTCTCCTTTACCTTAGCACATACAATCTTCTTTTCTCCATGAGCAGGATATCAGTTTTCCAAGCCTGGTGTGATTTCCCAGCTAGAGAAAGGAGAAGAGCCATGGCTGACTGAGAGAGAAATTTCAGAAGGTCCAAGTTCAGGTAAGAGCAAGCAGATGGAGTCTTTGAGATCCCCTTACAACATGTACTTTTAAGGGACATGACTGAATCCATAACCATATTCTAATAGATGCATTCCAAATCTTAAGAGATTGGAGAGAAAGTAAGTGGGATGGGGAGAACTTTCCCATTTCATTGAACACATTCCTATATTTAATATTTTATTTTAATGTTTTTAAGTATTTGAGACAAAAGTTTATTATAGAAACATTGGCTTTAAATGATGTATTAGAACCCTGTATTCCTGGACTTCTCACTTGATATTTGCCTTACAACAGTGTTCTTTCTTAGGGCCTTTCCCCTTGTAATTCACATGCATGTGGTCTTCTCAATTTCTGAAAATTCCCTTACATACTTTTAACAACTTTTTTCTCATTATTTCTTTCATATTAGCTCTTTAGGTGGGTGGCAGGATCACATTTGAAGATTGTTCAAGCCTCCTGAACCTAGTATATGTTATTTTAACATCACATAATCATGATCACTCTTTGATAAAGTGCAGTGAATGTGAGTCACTTGTATTTTATTATTATTTCTTTCAGACTTAGAGAGCAAAACAGAAAACAAAGAGTCAACCGTAAAGAATGACATTTTACCAGAAGAGTTCCACCATGGCCTGATGGTGGAGAGAGCCACAGAAGGAACCGCTTTGTACTCCACGTTAGGAATAGTCTCCAGATACGATGAGTTGGAAAGTCACCAGGAAAACCAAGCAGTAGAGGAGGTACAAGTCCTCTTGATTCGAAAGAAAACTTTCACTCAGGAGAGAGGCCAGGAATCCAACAGATTTGAGAAGAGTATTCATGTGAGCTCAAAAGTTACTCCAGGGCCAGTTGGCACGCCAAGAAAACTAGATCGTAAATATGACACATCTGGAAAGAGAAGCAGATACAATTTAGGTGTGACTGATCACACAAGAAGTTACAAAAAAATGAAAACCTTTGAATGTAATATTTGTGAAAAAATCTTCAAACAGCTTATTCACCTTACTGAGCACATGAGAATTCATACTGGAGAGAAACCTTTCAGATGTAAGGAATGTGGAAAAGCCTTTAGTCAAAGTTCATCCCTTATTCCACATCAGAGAATCCATACGGGTGAGAAACCCTATGAATGTAAGGAATGTGGCAAAACCTTCAGGCATCTGTCATCCCTTACTCAGCATCTGAGAATTCATACTGGGGAGAAGCCCTATGAATGTGGTGTATGTCAGAAAGCCTTCAGCCAGAGCATTGGACTGATCCAGCATCTGAGAACTCATGTTAGAGACAAACCTTTCACATGCAAAGATTGTGGAAAAGCGTTTTTTCAGATTAGACACCTTAGACAACATGAAATTATTCATAGTGGTGTGAAACCCTATATTTGTAATGTGTGCAGTAAAACCTTCAGCCATAGCACATACCTAACTCAACACCGGAGAACTCATACTGGGGAAAGACCATATAAATGCAAGGAGTGTGGGAGAGCTTTTAGCCAGAGAATCCATCTGTCTATCCATCAGAGAGTCCATACTGGAGTGAAGCCTTATGAATGCAGTCACTGTGGAAAAGCCTTTCGGCATGACTCATCCTTTGCTAAACATCAGAGAATTCATACTGGAGAAAAACCTTACGATTGTAATGAATGTGGAAAAGCCTTCAGCTGCAGTTCATCACTTATTAGACACTGCAAAACACATTTAAGAAATACCTGTAGCACTGATACATGAAATATATTCAACCATAAAAGAATTCCACATTGAAGCAAAAACTTCACTCAGTGCTTCTGACTTGGATTTTAAGAGCCCATAATATTTTTTTAAAAGAAGATTTGACACAGTGTTTCTAACTATAGATTTTGCCACACTAAAAAATGACTACCTGTTATCAGCACTATTTCAAAGAGAAGGCATTTTAATCTTTTAAAATATAGGAAGGATATAATCCGTAAAAAGAACAGCTTTTTACATTGAATTAGCTTTATGAAACTGCCCGAATTTGTCTTTACTTTTGTCATTTCATTGTAGGCCATTACTCCATTGTGGCTGATAGCAATCTGTGGACTGGCTTTTTTTAAAAATCAGTTGTAAATAGCTCTTTAATAAATCAATAAAATCAAATACCCTACCCACTGCCATCAAGTCCATTCTGACTCTTACTTGGCAACCCTGTATGGAATTCCTGAGGCTATAAATCTTTATAGAAGCAGAAAACCTCATCTTTCTCTCTTAGAATGACTGGTGGGTTTGAACTGTTGAGTTAGCAGTTAGCAGTCCAGTACTTAACCTACAGTGACACCTAGGCGCCTTTAAGTGCGACCTATTACTAATCCTTTACATGGCTTGGGGTTAAGTGCCATTGAGTCAGTTCGGACTCATAGGTACCCTGTGTAGGGTTTCTGAAGAGCGACTGGTGGTGGGTTTGAGCCACCAATCTTGTGGTTAGCAGCCCAGTGTTTATCCTACAGCACACCAGGACTCCTAGAAAAAACATAAATAAAAATGTTAGTTGACTCATTTCTAGAAGAAATCATGCTAAAAATAAGTTTTCTAGAGTTGATCATCTATACTGAAATATTTGTTTATATTTTATGGTTTCTTATAGAACAATAGTTGGTAAAATTTTTCTGTTAGGGTCACAATATAAATATGCTTTGCTTTGCAAGCTGTATTGCCTTTGTCACAACTACTTAACTCTGCTATTATAGTGTGAAGTTCAGAGACAGCAATGGAAACCATAGTCTCTTGAACTTGGTACTGTTGATGTTTGGGGCCAGATAATACTTTGTTGTGGGCAGCTGTTCTGTGCATTGTAGGATGTTTAGCAGCATTCCTGACCTACCCACAATATACCAATGGTAGGTGCCAGTAGCATCTCTCCCCCAGTTTTGACAACCAAAAATGTCTCCAGAAATTGCCAGATGTCCTAATGGGCAAAATTATCTCGAGAACCAGTGGGTGTGGATCTAGTCCAATAAAACCTTTTATTTATAAACGCAGGTGTTGGGACTATATTTGGACAAGGGTTATAGTTTACCACGTCTACTAATGCTAATCTATTAATCATGGCAACCAAATATAATGTTGAATTTAAAGGAGCCCTTGTGTGATAGTTAAATGCTGGGCTACTAACCAAAAGGTTGAAGTTTGAACCCACCAGCAGCTTTCAGGAGAAAGATGACACCATCTGCTTCTGTAAAAATTACAGCCTTGGAAACTGGGGTAGTTGTACTGTCCTATAGGGTCACTGAATCAGAATCAATTCAGCAATGGGTCTGATGATGGCTAATGTTTTGTATAGTTATGGCACAAATCCTAATCCCTTAGCAATTCTTTTAATTCTTCAATAATAAAGAAATCTCATTTTTAAAGCTGTTATGGGGGCCTGGGAATTATTTATGGAAATCTCTAAACACTGGGATGTATCTGTAGGAGATAAACTCTTAAAACATAACCACAGGCTATTATTACACTTAAAATATTAGCCTTAATTCCTTTATACATGATACTTTTTTGAGGTTAGATATATTAAGGTTGGTAACTGCCATTTTATTAATTTTTTAAACTTTCCCATAGCCTGTTGTCTTTATGTTCCATCAAGTCAGTTCCAACTCATAGTGAACCTGCATAGGGTTTCTGAGGAGTGGCTGGTGGGTTTGAACCACCAGCCTTGTTGGCAGTCTAGTGCCTATCCTACCATGCCACACCAGGTATTAGATTTGAAAATGCCTTTTCTGTTAGTCTTTGAGATACTGGCCAGAAAAACACATCATAGGGCCCATCAGAAAGGGTAAGGGGCAGGAGGAATATGAGTGCTATTGTTTTTTTGTTTTTATGTAAAGTGTTTATTGTGTCTTGAGTGATAGTTTACATGGGGGAACATCAGTTTGTTTCATTGCAATGATTACTATCTTGCATGCTTCATCATTCAACAGTATTTGCTTCTATTCCCTCTGGTTTTTTGTGTTTTTTTTTTTTTTTTGATGTGCACTAAAACAAGCATTCAAACAGCCTAAGGGCACACCCTGCCCCACGGCTGCCAGCACACATGCCCTCTCCCTCAGTGAGTCTAGAATCTTCAACTGCTCGGTCTCTCCATGTCATCTCTGCTTCCACCTCTGGCATTGCTGCTTGTCTGGGTGGGGTCCCACACTGCACTCTCAGAGGTGCTGTTGAGTCAGTTCCATCTCTGCAAACCCTATGCATAACAATGAAACACTGCCCAGTCCTGCCCCTCCTCACAATTGCTGTTATGTTTGAGTCCCTTATAGCTGCCACTGCGTCAATGCTTTTTTTTGGTGATCTTACTCTTTTTTTGATGATTCTTCACTTTACCAAGCATGATGTTCTTCTCCAGGGTCTAGTCCTTCCTGGGAGCATGCCCAAAGTGTAAGAGACAAAAGTCTTGCCATCCTTGCCTCTAAGGAGAACTCTAGCTGCTTTTCTTCCAAGACAGATTTGTTTGCTCTTCTGGTAGTCCATGGTACTTTAAATATTCTTCACCAACACCATAATTCAAATGCATTGATTCTTCTATTTCCGTATTCTTTGTCCAACTCTCACATGCATATGAGGCGACTGAAAATACCATGGCTTGTGTCAGGCACACCTTAGTCCTCCAAGTAACATTTTTTGTTCTTCAATACTTTAAAGATACCTTTAGCAGCAGATTTGCCTAAAGCAACACACCTTTTGATTTCTTGACTGCTGCTTCCAGGGGAATTGACTGTGACCCATCCAAAATGAAGTCTTTGATAACTTCAATTTTTCTCATTTATCTTGATGTTATTTATTGGTTCGTTTGTGAGGATTTTGTTATTGTTTTTTTACACAGAGGAGCAATCCTTACTGAAGGCTGTAGTGTTTGATCTTCATCAGTTCAAAAGTAAGTTGCTTCCAACTTATTTAGATTTAGTCACATTTTCTGTTTTATTTCACTTTCCTTTTTACATCTTTGTCCTTTAATCTGAAATAATTTTCTTTTTGTCTGAAGTTCATCCTTGAGAATTCCTTTAACAGAGGAAAAGCTCTCTGTTGAGAAATGTCTTTATTGAAGGTGTTTTGTTTTTGTTTTACTGTATTCTGGGTTATTGGCTATTTCCTTAACAACATTTTGCCAATTTCATTCTACAATCTTTTGACTTCCATTGTTGCTAATGAAAAATCAACTGTAAGGATGTCACTTGTACTAGTTATTTATATTTGTCCATGGTATTAGTTATCAATTTCTGCTAAACAAGTTACCCCAAAACATACCAACATAAAAAATAATTAGATTTTTTGTCTTGTTGTTGTTGTTAGGTGTCATTGAGTCATTTCCAACTCACAGTAACCCTATGCACAACAGAATGAAACACTGCCTGGTCCTGCGCCATCCTCGCAATCCTTATGACACTTGATCCCATTGCTGTTCCATCTCATTAAAGATCTTCCTCTTTTTCTCTGACCCTCTTTACCAAACATGATGTCTTTTTGCAGGGACTAGTCCTTCCTGGTAATATGCTCAAAGTATGAGAGACAAAGTCTCACCGTCCTGGTTTCTAAGAAGTACTGTACTTCTTCCAACATAGATTGGTTGTTTTGGCAGTCCATGGCACTTTTAATATTCTCTAATACCATAACTCTAATTTTCAATTCTTATATGGTCTTCCTTATTCATTGTCCAACTTTCACATGCATATGAGGCTACTGAAAATACCATGCCTTGGAAATGCAAAGGTAGAAGTTTTGTAACAAGGAAGGGAGTAATTGATTCTCCAGGATAAGAGTGGAGGCCTCTGGGACCATCAACGGAGAAGAGTCGAGAGCGGGACCCTACCCAGAGAAACAGAGATGCCTGAGATAGAGACAGAGATGATGACGTGGAGTGATGAAGCGGCTGGGGACTTTGGACCCAGAGAGGGAAAGGGACTGTGGGCTGAAAACAGAGGGTGGTGGTGGAGGGGAAATGTAGGGAGTGGGTTTCTGGGATATACCCTTTGGGTGGTTGAGGATGCATGGAGGGGATTGGAACCATGGCAGTGAGATGATATACGATGGAGTGAATGTAAAACTAAAGTTCTCCCATGTAAACTATCATATAATTTACAATAAAACAAAACAAAACAAAAATACCATGCCTTGGGTTAGGCACACCTTACTCCTCAAACTTGACATCTTTGTTCTTGATTGAACACTTTAAAAAGATCTTGTGCAACAGATTTGCCGAATGCAATATGTTGTTTGATAATTTGACTGCTACTTCCATGAGTGGTGGTGGTGGTGGTTATGTGCCATGGTGTCGGTTCTGACCCATAGTGACCCTGTACAGGGTTTCCAAGGCTGTAAATCTTTACGGGAGCAGAAAGTCTCATCTGTCTCCCACGGAACAGCTGGTAGTTTCAAACTGCTGACGCTGTGGTTCGCAGCCCAATTCATAACCGCTACGCTACTTCCATGAGTAGCAGTATAAAAAGGTCTTATATGCAGATTTGCCTAATTCTTGATTGCTGCTCCCATGAGTATTCATAGTGGATCCAAACAATATGAAATCTTTGACAACTTCAATCTTTTCTCCATTTATCATGATGTTATTTATTGGAAAAGTTGTGAGGATTTTTATTTTCTTTACATTGAGGTGCAACCTTTATTGAAGACTGTGGTCTTTGATCTTCATCAGTTCCATGGGAGAAAGATAAGGCTTTCTGCTCCCATAAAGATTTACAGCCTCAGAAACCCTATGCAGGGTCGCTATGAGTTGGAACCAACTCCACAATAGCCACCATGTTCAAGGTCAAATTTTGGCTCTC